TTTTGTAAGCTAAGTTCCATGATTTGCAAAGGATAAGTACTGTAAATGATGCCTACTTGAAATTCAATATATGCATGCTTGTTATGTATTGAGTTATTGAATTGGTTGGGCTGAGAATCAATTAGGTACCTTTTGTTTAAATTGGGAAACGTTGAGAAAACAAAGGTGATGCTGCCCAAATTGTAGCTAAATCTCATGAGGAGAGGTTGGATGAGTGCTAGGATTTAGTTTTGGGGCATGGACAATTGGGGTTTGGAATGGGGATGCATCTTCCCCTAGACTTGGACTTGAAAAATGTGGGAATTGGAATTCCCTGGCAGCGCGCTTAAGCGCCAAGGAGCGCGCTCAAGCGCCCTGCTGCCCCTGTGAGTGCCAATGCATTCGGCCTCCTCACGCTGGAGCGCCCAAAGTGGGGGCTTAAGCGCCTAGGATTGCGCGCTTGAGCGCCCTGGTTTGCGCTTAAGCGCCCTTCGCTGTAGAAAGATGGGATGCTTACTGTCTCCGCGGGTTTTAGCGCCTAGGATTGCGCGCTTGAGCGCCCTGGTTTGCGCTTAAGCGCCCTTCGCTGTAGAAAGATGGGATGCTTACTGTCTCCGCGGGTTTTGGCGCCCAGGGTTGCGCGCTTGAGCGCCCTAATTCGCGCTTGAGCGCCCTGATTCGCGCTTGAGCGCCCTTAGCCACTGAAGGAGGAGATGCTTCTGTCTCTGCGCGCTAAAACGTCCCAATGGGAGCTTAAGCGCCCAGGATATCGCGCTTAAGCGCCCATTTACACTGAACTACCTGATGCTTCCTGCCTCCGTGCGCTTAAGCGCCCAGATGGAGGCTTTAGCGCCCGATAACGCGCGCTTGAGCGCCCGGTAGTGCGCTGAAGCGCGCGGGACCTGTGATCAACACCCTCTTGTGTCGCTTCAAATTGTCATAACTTGGGCTATAGTGCTCCGATTTGAGTGCAGTTTGAAGCCACACGTAGCTAACGAAGAAATCTACCATATAGTAGAGGTTGGAAAATAAATAAGAAGTAAATTAATGGTTTAAAAAAATGGAATAAGAACATGATGTTAAGTTTGATTTATCTGTTTCCGCAAGTTAATATGGTTATGATCACGAAATTGGGTATTATAAATTCGGCATGTTTTAAAATGAAAATTTATCCGGATTGTAATTGAGCCAATGTGATTGTAACTGCGCTTAATATCATAATACGATGTTAACAAACCGGTTCTAGAACGGGGTGTTTCAAATTGAATGTGCTTATTGTCTTTTTGTTTATTCTGATGCATACTTATTTTGCCTTAATAATGAATTTCTATATTAGTTCCTTTAAATAGATTTGAAAACATGTTAGATTCATTTCAAAATTAATATTTTGAAATATTTATTTTAATTTTTTATATACATAAATATTTATTTGAAATTATTTGCTCTCATTCATATTTAATTTTGTGAGCTCTTATTCATGTTTGATTCTGTGAAAAATATTTTTGATCTTTTTTTAAGATTTTAAGTAATGAATATTATTATAGATTATGGTGATTATAACGTTAGTATTTACTCTCCTAATTTTAGCGTAGATTTTATGTGATTTGTCAATTAAGTTTGATTAGTGAGCTAAGATATGTAATTGCTGATATTTGGGATTGAAATTTATAATACAAGTTATAATTCAGTAAATGCAATATGAATTTGGGAAACATATGCTATAAAATTTTTCATATTATTTAGGTATGATTATTCGGAATGTTATTTGTAAATCGTCAGGGTTCTTATTAATAAAAACTATTATTTGCAATTATCTGCCCAAAGAAAGTTATTGTATGCATTAATTTTGAAATTTGCATTGAGTTAAAATTTCAAATAATGTGAAATAATTATGTACTATGTACTCTATCCAAAGGAGAGTTTATAATATGCTAATTATTTTGTTAAAATTATTTCTTTACCCATAATTAATATAATTGCATTTTTGTAACAAATATACTTATGATATAAATGATAACAATGTCATGATAGAATTGTTGATTGTATTAAATTATAATGAATAGAGATGAGAACTAGATTTATTATTATTATTATGGATTTTGATCTTGATAAGGCATTGCGTTAAAGTTATCGTATAGTTAATGTGGAGAGTATACTTGACATTTTCTTTAGTGTGAGAGATATAATTGATTTTGGGTGATCTTAAAGTTATTGTGGAGTCAGTGGAAGATATTTGTTTAGTTTTTGATGCCGAGATATGAGTTTATTTTGAAATGAATTTTCTATAAGGCTTCTTTGAGAATGATTTTGAATTCTATATCATTTTTAAATCAACATGGATTTTATTTTACATTAATAGTGATTTGATGAGGTAGTGACTTTCTTGAGCTATGATGAAAATTATTTGTTAGTATATTTACCATAAGGTCAGTGGGAGAAAAATCCATTTTCTTGTATTGTATGTGAATGACATAATTCTTAAGCATATTCAAATAGATTTCTTGTTAGTTGAACCTCTAACTAAAGGACTTAGGCCCATGTTATAAAAAAAAAAGGACTTAGGCCCAAGGTGTTTAAATGTGCTTTGATAATATGGGCATTGTGGGTTCCTTTGATATACTTGAATAGTGAGAGTTTGAATTCTCAATCTTTTCATTTAGGACACTATTGGTGTTTGGTTGACATGTACTTTTCATTGTGAGAAATTGGTACTGTATTTGTTTTTGCTATTATATGTTTTTACGTATCAATTGTGAAATTTTAGAACTCAATATAATTGGAACCACCATGCCTGTGGTTGACACTATAATGGAGTTTGAGGTATGATATTAAGATTTTAGAACTCAGTGTCGTCAGGACCACCATACCTGTGGTTGACACTATATTGGAGTTTGAGGCATAATTTTGGAACTCAGTGTTGTTGGAACCATCATGTATGTGGTTGAAACTATATGAGAGTTTGAGACATAATGGTGTTGTTGCGACTACAGGGCCCGTAGTCGACATCATATTTGATTATATGATTATTTTTTGATAAATCATGGAATTTCTCTAGCTTTAAGGCATTTGAGAGAAATTTGAGGACTGACAGAGAAAATAGTAGTTTGGCTGTTGTTGGATCACATTGGCATGCTATTTTCTTACTACACTTCACACTAATGACTAGTCGACGGAGTTAAATAACATTTGTGACCATGGAAGGTCTTATATCGGTAAGGGTATAATCACCGTCTGATTCAATGTTATTTGATTTTAGTTGGATGTAGTTATATTCAGATATCGCACCTTGGATCATGTGTTTTCTTAAAATGTGGCCACATTATAAGAATTAGTCCTTAGCCCGAGAGTCGTTTTCAAATAACTTGTTTTCCTTTTCTCTTTTAAATTAAAATTTTACAATTGATTTTGCCCAAGTGGAGAATGTTAGAAATTTTTATAATAATTGTGGGCTTCAATCAATTGTAGTTTTTCTTGTTTTAATAAAAACGGGCTAAGTCATGATCCATATAGGGGTGCAGTATAAAGTCCAGTTAATTAGTGATCTGTTTGATTTGGGCTTGGATATCTGTAAACTGATTAGTGTGGATAACAGTGTGTAGGCCTAACTTATAGGCCCGTAATGGGAAGGGGACTAGGGTTAATAAGTTTGGCTAGATCCCCTTTGCATTCACAACGTGTTAGAAAACCGTTACTCCACAACTTGCTCCATCGACGGTTGTGATCAGGTGTGAATTGCAGAGGAAGATCCTAGTCTTTCCATTGTAGGAGCATCAGAGAAAACAAGAAGTCTTCAAGAAATCAAGAATCATGTCTCAACAAATAAGTCTAAACTTTTTGGTGTTCTATTTTCGTATAATATTATCTTGAAATTTCTTACAGTGAGAGCCCTAACAATGAACACCAACTTGTAACATGTATTAATGTATGTAGACATATATGTACTTGAATTTGCTCTGTTCCCCAGCATGAAACATCCAAAAGTTCGATTATCACTACAAAGTTCACATTGCATTCTGCGTTCTAAGACTCGCCACGTGTGTTAACTTTCTCCTAAGCTGAGCATGGTATGTGGACTTTGATGTGTTTTGGTAGGGTCTTATTGCCCTTTGTTAAGATAATAACAAACGACTACAAGGAAATTATTGATAATTTTTTGTTATTCAAAAATGCCAATAATAGCTTAATAAATAAGTCGTTAACTTGAGCTTAAACAAAGCAATTAGCAGCTTAATTAATATCCTCTAATCACACTCATAATCTAAATCATCTGTTTATAAGAGAGTAGATAAGACTATCAGAGAGAAAAAAAATCTGCCAGTCATCAATTTTAAAAGGCTCACAAAAATTACTTTCTCAAATTTTGTAGCCAATAAAAGACAATTGAGATTGCTTTCGGTAGACGTTTTAGAACACAAACCACAATATATGTTGTAAAGAATCTTGGGATACACCACCCCAAAAGCTAGCTCAAAGGGTGGTTATAAACTCCACATTAGTTGCACATCTAACCAATGTGGGACTATATATCTCAACACGCCCCCTCACGCAAGAGCCCTTTGGGCGAGAAGCGTGGAATTGCACAGGCCCAATTTTTGGTTTACCTTTTTGTGCTTTTTATTTTAATTCCACTTGAAAGTGGGAGGCGGTGAGAGCTCAAGCTCTGATACCATGTAAAGAACATGGTATCAGAGCCTCACCGTCCCCCGCTTTAAAGAGTGGAATTAAAAAAAAAAAAAAGCACAAAAGGTAAACCAAAAATTGGGCCTGTGCAATTCCACGCTTCTAGCCCAAAGGGCTATTGCGTGAGGGGGCGTGTTGAGATATATAGTCCCACATTGATTGGATGGGCAACTAATATGACCTTTATAAGGCCTTGGGCAATCCCACCCCTTGAGCTAGCTTTTGGGGTGGTGTATCTCAAGGTTCTTTACATGGTATCAGAGCTTTCAAAGCTCTGATATCTGCTTCGGTTCTTCATTTTTCGAGATTCCATTTTCTTCTTCTCTTGAGGTTTTACAGATATGGCTATAGCTAATCAAGTTCATCTACCTGAGTATTTGACAAATCCGACACATCCTTATTACCTGCATCCAAATGAGAGTCCATCGCAGATTTTGGTGACTCCTCCTCTGAATGGACGTAATTTCCATCCATGGTCACGTGCGATGACAATGGCACTCAGATCCAAGAATAAACTTGGATTCATCAACGAAAATCAACATGTTCCTAATGATGAAGATCCTGAATATGAAGCTTGGGATCGCTGCAACACCATAGTTTTGGGATGGATACATAGATCCATTACTCAGAACATTGCTCAATCCATACTTTGGATAGAGAAAGCTTCGAGCGCATGGAAGGATTTACATGACAGATTCTCACAGACAGATATGTTTCGAATCTCATATCTTCAAGAGGACATCTACAAATTATTTCAAGGAGATAAATCTGTAAGTGATTACTTTACTCAGTTGAAAACCATGTGGGATGAATTGAATAATTTGAAGCCACTTCCCAATCCTACTGTTCCCTGTGTTTGTGGAACTGTTGAACAAATGCGTCTCTATCGAGACAGAGACCAAACTATAAGATTTCTGAAAGGATTAAATGAGCAATTTGCTCAAGTACGGTCACAAATTATGCTAGTTGAGCCACTTCCAAATGTTACAAAGGCTTTTTCTTTGATTTCTCAGCAAGAACGTCAATTTTTGTCTGAAAACAACATGAATTTTTCAAATAATTCTCAAGTTATGGCCACTTTTGGAGAACAACAAAATAACAGAAGAGCTAGTGGATATTTTAATGGTGGAAGGTCATATAGAGGACGCGGACGTAGTAATTTTGGTAGAGGATCACACATATCAAAGTTCTGTACTCATTGCAACAGACCTCATCATACTGTTGAGTCATGCTATCTTCTTCATGGATTCCCACCTGGATATAAAAGGAGCAATCCGGTTCATAATTCTGCTGCTGTAGCACATACTGATATGGGGAATCATGAGTCATCTATACAGTCACAGTCTTCCATAACTATGACTCAAGATCAGTATAATCACATTCTTGATTTGCTGCAAAATTCTAATACAATGCAGTCCTCACAGAACCAACATTCCATCAATGCAGCAAATTCTAGCCATCCAATGGCTGATAATGCTCAAACAGGTAACATGAGCGTTGAGTGGGTAATTGACACAGGTGCCACAGACCACATTACTCACACCTTGTCACAATTTTCAACTTTTCACAAAATCAAACCAATTTCTATTCACTTGCCGAATGGTTCAACTGTTGCTTCATCAATTTGTGGAACAGTAAATATCACCTCATCACTCATTCTTACTGATGTTCTTTATGTTCCTAGTTTCCATATTAACCTTCTGTCTGTCACAAAATTGTTGAGTTCATTACCTTATACCATTACCTTTAACGAATCTGTTTGTGTCATACATGAGAGAAGGTCAAGTTGCCTAATGACGATTGGTTCTGCTAGACGAAGGAATGGACTATATGTGATGATCAGTAATGCAAACAAGACAGTAGCTCACACAAATACCTCACCTTGTAATAAAACCAGTCAAAATGATGTTTGTTATTTGGCACCAAAGATTAGGTCATATCTCTAAAGATGTTACACGTGCAATGTCATTACATTTTCCTTTTATTCCATCTTCGATACATGATAAACCTTGTGATGCATGTTATTTTGCAAAACAACATAAGCTTCCTTTCAATCTCAGTGTCACTAAGTCTGAGAAATTTTTTGAACTACTTCATGTTGATATTTGGGGTCCCCATTCAACCAATTCTATTCATGGACATAAGTATTTCCTTACCATAGTAGATGATCACTCACGTTTTACTTGGATATTGCTTATGCGCACAAAATCTGAGACACGCACTCATCTACAAAACTTCATTGCTTTCATTAAAAATCAGTTTAGCACCACTGTTAAAACTTTGAGATCAGATAATGGACCTGAATTTTTGATGAATGATTATTATTCAAAAGAGGGTATCATACATCAACGTACTTGTGTTGAAACACCACAACAGAATGGTATAGTAGAACGTAAGCATCAACACATTTTAAATGTGGCTCGTGCTATTTTCTTTCAGGCCAAAATCCCACTTTCTTTATGGTGCTACACTATCACTCATGCTGTTCATTTACTAAACAGAACCTGCAGCCCCATACTTGATGGTAAATCTCCTTATGAAAAGCTTTATGGTTTTCCTCCCACACTGATTCATTTACGTGTCTTTGGCTCATTAGCTTATGCATCCACACTCACTTCTCAACGCACCAAATTCTCTGCCCGTGCTCGTAAAGCAATTTTTTTGGGTTATCGTGATGGAACAAAAGGTTACTTATTGTATGACTTGCACACTAACGAAATTTTTGTTTCACGGAATGTTATATTCCATGAAAGTGTTTTCCCTTTTCATCAACCTATCACACCTACCTTAGATAATCCACAAAATCCTATCCTTTCTACTTCTGACTTAGAATCCTTTATTCCCACTCCAATCATAACCAATGATCCAACTCACAACCAAGCTCCAACACACATCACAGACTTACCAGACCAACATCAAACAGATTTACCAGAATTACCAAACAACCAAATTCAGCCAAATAACCTCCAACCAGACCACTCTCAACCAGATCACTCTCAACCAGCTACTCGTCGTTCTTCAAGAACATGTTTGCCCCCAAGATACTTACAGGATTATCACTATAGTTTGTCCTCATCTCAGCAGCCTCAATCTTCATCTGGTAAATTTTCTAACTCTTCTGTTAAATACCCTTTATCAAATGCTTTATCATACGATTTGTGCACCTCAGCATATCACAATTTTTGTCTTAATGTTACCACTCACATTGAGCCACGCACTTTCAAAGAAGCAAATCAATCTCCCCAATGGCAGAAAGCCATGGATACTGAGCTGAATGCCTTGATGATGAATACTACATGGACAGTGGTTGATTTACCTCATGGAAAAACACCCATAGGCTGTAAATGGGTATACCGCATCAAATACAAATCAAATGGAGAAATAGAACGCTACGAAGCTAGACTCGTAGCAAAGGGGTTCACACAACTAGAAGGCGTAGATTTTTTTTGACACATTTTCCCCAGTAGCAAAGCTGAATTCCATTCGGGTTTTGCTAGCCATAGCAGCTGCCAAAGGTTGGCTTCTTGAGCAACTTGATGTGGACAATGCTTTTCTGCACGGTGATTTATCAGAAGAGGTGTACATGGAACCTACTCAAGGCTTATCTACTATAAAGTCCAATCAAGTATGCCGTCTTAATAAATCCTTATATGGTCTTCGACAAGCCAGCCGTCAATGGTATAGTAAACTCTCTTCTGCTCTTATTTCACTGGGATATGCACAAAGTCAAGCCGATCATTCCCTGTTTACTCTTCAAAATGGGAATTCTTTTACTGCTTTACTTGTTTACGTTGATGATATTGTCTTGTCGGGTAATTCATCCTCAGAAATCAAAAGAGTGAAATCATTTCTTCATGAACAATTCTGCATAAAAGACTTAGGCCCTTTACGTTATTTTTTGGGACTTGAAGTCTCCCGTTCTCATAACGGCATTCATGTAAACCAACGGAAATATACACTTGAAATACTCTCTGATTCTGGACTTTTAGCAGCAAAATCATGTAACTCTCCAATGGATTCTAATTTGCGCCTCAGTCAAGCAAATGGAAAACCTGTTGATCATCCTACTTCATACCGTCGCTTAGTTGGCAGATTGCTGTATCTTACCACTACCCGCCCCGACATTTCATATGCAGTACAACAGCTTAGTCAGTTCATTTCATGTCCCCATGACATACATGTTCAAGCAGCAAACCGTGTTTTACGCTATTTGAGAGGAGCTCCATCAACTGGCTTATTCTTTTCAGCTAAATTTGATTTTCATATCAGTGCCTTCAGTGATTCCGATTGGGCTTCATGCCCTGACACAAGAAGATCCATCACTGGTATTTGCATCTTTATTGGGTCATCTCTTGTTGCTTGGCGTTCCAAGACGCAGTCCACCATTTCCAGATCGTCGACCGAAGCAAAATACAGAGCTTTGGCCATTTTAGCTTGTGAACTTCAATGGTTCCAACATTTATTCCATGATTTACACATTCCATGGATAAAACCAGCCTCTGTATATTGTGATAGTAAGTCTGCAATATATCTTGCCCATAATCCAGCATTTCATGAACGATCCAAGCACATAGAGATTGATTGTCATGTAACTCGAGAGAAAATTCAATCTGGTCTTCTCCATCTTCTTCCTGTTTCTTCCGCTGGGCAATTGGCAGATGTATTCACGAAGCCTCTTCCTTCAAAGCCATTTGCTTATGCAATTTTCAAGTTGGGTCTGTTTACTCTTCACAGCCCTACTTGTGGGGGGGGGGGGGGGATAATACCCGATAATATTCAAGCAACCCATAATACTGAAGCCCAAACCCAGAAACTGTGTGACTCATATAAGAAAATGACTAATCACAACAGATGAATGCCACGTCAGATTGTGCATGACTTATTCTGTTAGGACAGTTTGTTAGAGTTAGTTATATGGTAGTATCATTAACCATTCGGGTTGAGTTAGTTTAACTTGAGTTAGTTCTTAATTACTGCTATGTATAAATAGCTTCATTGTAATGTAAACTAGTCAGTTTTTGGTTAATAAGATCGATTCATCTTCTTCATGAATACTCTGTTTTCTCTCAATTTCTTGAATACTCTGATACCGTGTTGAGATATATAGTCCTACATTGGTTAGATGTGCAACTAATGTGGAGTTTATAAGGCCTTGGGCACTCCCACCCTTTGAGCTAGCTTTTGGGGTGGTGTATCCCAAGGTTCTTTACATGGTATCAGAGCCTCATCGTCCCCTGCTTTAAAAAGTGGAATTAAAATAAATAAATAAAAAGCACAAAAAGGTAAACCAAAAATGGGCCTGTGCAAATTTCCACGCTTCTTGCCCAAACGACTCTTGCGTGAGGGGGCGTGTGGGAGATATATAGTCCCACATTGATTGGATGGGCAACTAATATGACCTTTATAAGACCTTGGACACTCCCACCCTTTGAGCTAGCTTTTGGGGTGGTAACCTCAAGGTTCTTAACATATGTATTTTATTCGATATTTGATGTATAATAAAAGTAGAACAGAAGAGGACATCGTCACATGAGGTAAAAAACTAGTACATTTTAATTCCATAAAAAGGTTCAACTAATGAGAACATAACAGAACTAAACTTTCTATTATGTTTCATCCTTTGGCTACTAAGTTTGACTAATGTAATTGGTTTCTCGGTTGAAATTCTATGAGTCATAACAAATGGCTGCGAAGACCTCTTTTCTTAAGAAGTGAATAAGGGAAAGAAGTAATGACAATGCCGCTATAATGTAAAAAAATTTCACCCCCTTCTTCCTTAAGACCAATGAAATACCAAAAATACAATACATGAAGGAAAAAGAGAATGGCTGAACAAAAACTACCATTAAACTAGTGAAATCACTAGATATGGATGCATTCCTGAATACATTATTTTCATCTAGTTCTTCATGGGTAGGGCAAGGTTTCTGTGTAGATTGAAGGATAGACATATTCTACATTTTCTGCTTGAACCACATGCCTTTAGTTTGTCTTTTTTTGCCTTCCTTTAATCAAAAGTAAAATATCTAATCCATCTTATTCAAAAATGTCCAATCTAATTGCGAAAATAACTAGTGTTCCCAATACTGATGGCCATTGAAATGTACATGTGCGATGTGAAAGGAGGCTTTCATTGCCGCAAACAACACCTCAAGCCTTACAACCCAAATAAACCAGATAGACTCCACTTGATGAATAAGGTTGTTTTACAAAGGATTGGAACCACAAACTTTAAGTTTTCACTAGATCAAATCTTGTGATTTAAGGGAGCAATAAGGTGTGAAAAGGGAAATAACGAAGGAAAATTAATATCCTTCAAGAATGAATGATAAGTAACAAAGAACATCTTTTATTTGTATCACTTTCTCAGGTGTGGCGAGAGAGATTTTCATCTGGTATATGGATACACTGCAAAAATATGTTTACTGTTTATCTCATGCACATACCTCTCATCCCAATCAAACTGGATTCACCATACTGCTATCTTAGAAGGAAAATTGTCAGCTTTCTTTCTTGGGATGTATTGCTTGGAAAACAGCTTCGAATTCTTCTTTTACTCTTTCATAGACATTCGGACCCTTAACTTCATTGGCAGGGGTATTCTCACCAATATCATCACTCCTTCCATGAGTTTCTTTATGATGATGGTGTTGTGACTTCTCATGGTGTATGGTGGCTTCAATCTCTTCCTTAGCTTCTTTCTTGGGATGTATTGCTTGGAAAACAGCTTCGAATTCTTCTTTTACTCTTTCATAGACATTCGGGCCCTTAACTTCATTGGTAGCGGTATTCTCATCAATATCATCACTCCTTCCATGAGTTTCATTATGATGATGGTGTTTTGGCTTCTCATGGTGTAAGGCGGCTTTAATCTCTTCCTTAGCTTTCACAAATATGTTTACTTCCTTTCCTTTTGTTTCTGCCAATGAAAATGCCTCAAATCAAGTCAACAGATTATTGGCCCCGAACTATAGCATTTGAAACCAACAACTCATGATTGAAGAAGCTTATGATTAATTATAAAGGCATGACAGTGATTTTTGCATTCACGTGGCATATAATAGAATAATTCCTATAATTCTTTGGAACAAGAATAAAGAGGGACTGACAGGCCAATGTGCTTCCATAACAACAAGTATGTAGTCATTCAAAAAGGAAACCACTTACTAAAAGATCCTCAAAACATTGTTAAACCCAAGAAATGAATTCCACATTATAAAAAACCCGCAAGTCTAGGACCAAATATACAAAATTTTGATGAGTCCATTCAATTAATGGTTACCTTCCTAACATAATGTCAACCATTATTTTAGAGGATGCATTAACACCTTACTGATGTGCACAATGTCCAAATAACCAAGAAAAAATAACAATCCCACAAATTAACATATACCTGATGGAGAGATTGGGATTTCTTGTTTATGGTTTGACTCAGCCATTTGACTTCCATCCCTATATCACAAAATAAAACTGGATATCAGAGTCTGTCAACTGAAATGTCAACTTTCCATAGTCAATTTTTTTTTTTTTTTTTTTAAGGAGGGTATGATTTCAACCTTATATCATGAATTGGAGCCTCTTTCTTGTGATGGAACACTTGACCAAGGGCTTGAAACTCCTCCTTTGCTCTCTCAAACACATTTGGAGCCCTAACATCATCCAATGAGATGTTCTTGTCGATGCCATTATGCAGTTCATGAGTTTCCCTGTTATGATGGCATGAAGAATTCTGAGGATGAAACATAGCCTCAAACTTTTCCTTTGCTCTTTCGGCCAAATTGGGTGCTCTTACTTCTTTAACTGATAGCAGAAAACATCATAACAAAATCATCCAATCAAATAGACACCGCACACATAAAAAAACTTAACATATTCCTCATAGTTTCTCCATAACTTCCACACAAAGTAATGTTAAACTCCAATATAAATCAGTTTTTCTTCTACTTCTTCCTCCTATGATATTAAAAAAAACATATATTTCGAATTTATTGCAAATGAAATTTAAATACCGGTGCAAAATTAAAACTTATAATAAAATAAATACTGCAAAATCCGAATATATGCAAACAATTGCAAATCAAAGTTTCAACGAAACCAATCTCTAAACTCAAACAAGGTTCGGATGAGATTAATTATGATTAATATAAAAGTGATTGTATATGATGGTATTCGTACCTGACAGAGAGTTTGTTGTTTTGTCGTTGGACTTAGATTCGGCCATGATGAGTTTAAGGTTAACGGGGGATTACAAAGTGGGTTTGCTGAGAATGTGTTAACGTTGTTGTTGTCGAAGTTAGTTTTAAGATGGGTAGCGGTCGGCAAAGCGCAGACGCATGATAAAAAGGGAATGAGATCAGATGTGACTTTTGAGTGAAGGGTGCTGTCTAGGGTGGACCACTAACTATCGCCATTAGATATAATAATTTTTAAATCAACGGTTCTGATTGATTATCTGTAACCGGTTGAACAGGTCACTTGAGGTATTTTCGGAATTGCAAAGTGGTCCTTCTCAGTTAACATGCTTTTGTCTGTTTATTAATCAATAATCATTGCCTATTACGCTTATGCCATTTCAGTGTGGTACTGTGGTTTACAAAGATTTTATCCGTGGATCCAGGATCCTGAAGTTTTAAAAAAAATGGTAGATGGTAGTTGATTTTTTTAGAACTTGTACGAGGAAGAGAATCATGGAGCTCAGAATTTGATCTGTGAGAAAGGGTTTCCAGTGATAGATAACCATAAGTGGAGAAGTTTGGACAGTTCCCCTGATGTGGAGGAAATCAGAAGAACCATTTTCCAAATGAAGCCTTTCAAAGCCCCTGGAGTTGATGGCCTACATGCAGTCTTCTTCCATACGCAATGGGACAAAGTGGGCAGCTCTGTGTCTAATCTGGTTTTGGAGGTGTTCAATGACCCTAGGAAGGTGACAGATATTAATCAAACACTAGTCTGTTTAGTCCCTAAAGTGGATAGTCCAGAAGTGATAAGCGAGTTCAGGCCCATAAGCCTGTGTAATGTTGTTTACAAAGTGGTTACCAAGATTATCACAGCTAGGCTAAAAGAGCACATGAACTCCCTAGTAATGCCAAATCAATGCAGTTTTGTTAAAGGGAGACAGGCCTCTGATAATATCATTATTAGTCAAGAGATCTTTCACTCCATGAGAGCCAAGAAAGGCAAGAAGGGCTGGATGGCAATCAAGGTAGATTTAGAGAAAGCATATGATAGAGTGAGGTGGTCTTTCTTGGAGGAAACTCTTATTCTGGCAGGGCTGCCCAGCAGATTAGTGGAGCTCATTATGACTTGTGTATCTTCTCCTACCATGAATATCCTTTGGAATGGATCTCAAACCGAATACTTTGCTCCATCTAGGGGAATTAGACAAGGAGACCCCTTGTCTCCTTATCTATTTGTGTTGTGCATTGAGAGGTTGGGACACTTGATAAACACAGCTGTTGAGAGCAAAGCCTGGCAACCAATTAAGTTGGGAAGGAATGGTCCCCCAATTTTCCACTTATTCTTTGCTGATGACCTACTTATCTTCTCTGAGGCTAGTGTAGACCAAGCCAACCTGATTGGGAGTATTCTGAGTAAATTTTGTGATGCTTCTGGCCAGAAAATTAGCAACAACAAGACTATATGCTTCTTCTCCAGGAATGTTAACCACAACAGAAAAAAAGAGCTAAGTCTCAGTTTGAGCTTTCAAATCACTGCTGACTTAGGGAAATATCTTGGGATTCCCATTCTTCATAAGAGAGTGAATAAGAGTACATTCAGATTTATTCTGGAAAAAACCAATAAAAGGCTGAGTGCTTGGAAGGAAAAAACCCTATCCTTGGCTGGTAGGGTGGTACTTACAAAAGCTGTGTTGGCAACAATCCCTTCTTATGTCATGCAGACTTCCTTTATTCCAGTAGGGACTTGTGATGTTGTGGAACAAAAAATGAGAAGCTTCATTTGGGGTTCAAATTCGGAAAGGAGGAAGATATATGCTTATCCTTGGAATGTTGTGTGCAAATCTAAGGAGAATGGGGGTTTGGGAATAAGGAACCTGAGAATGACCAATAAAGCATACATGATGAAGATTGGCCATGCCTTGCTGACACATAGGGAAGATTTGTGGGTCCAAGTGTTGAAAAACAAGTATAAAGTGGAGAGTGGTCTTCTGCCTAGTATACCAAAGAAGAAGGGATGCTCCAATCTCTGGTCAGGAATGTCTCGGGTATGGGATAAAGTTTATCAAGGTTCAGTAATGATGGTGGGTAATGGCCAGGGAACCTCTTTTTGGTTTGATAAATGGCTATCTATTGGGCCTCTTATTAATCACAAGGTATAGGAAATCCTTATAGAAATGCAGGAGATGGTTGTGGCTGACATGGTTGATGTGGATAAGTCCTGGAAATGGCAGGATTTTAGGTACAGTCATTATGATTATGATTCTCCATGTTTAATACTTTTAACACTATAAAACAACATAATTTTATATGACTGCACCAATACTTAGGTACAGTCATTGTACATCCACAAACTATATATATATATATATATATATATGCTCAAATAGGAAACAAGAATTTTGGAAGGAAATCGAGAAAATAAGAATAAATTCAAATAACAATTCAAAAAGAAACTTTTGGGTGAACATAGGGTGCTAATAGCTTCTTGCAAGTATGTTGTGCCTGGGTACACAAATTACTTAAGACTCTACCAGCATCCCATCTCTGTAGCTAATAAGACCTATAACCTAAGTTTTGATACCAACTTTGTCACAACCCAAATTTCAGCCATGACCGGCACATGCTAAGGTAACATAAACACCCTTAGTCTAGTTAGCATATCTTTCACAAAGAACCTGAAAAACAAAAGGAAATTTTAACTGATTAATATTGCGAATTTATTGGAATTTTGATAGAGTTTCCTTTATATTTCTAACATGCCAAAACAAACCAAACATCTGATATGCAATGTATACAACATCAATCAGCAACATCAACAACAAAATATTTAATCCATGATTTAGAAGCTTAAATACAATCCAAAAGACACCACTAACAAATTTCTCATAGATGCAGAATGCTCAAAGTTCTAAAATAAGAAAATAATGACTCTTATATGAAAGAGGACTACCAAAATATTCTAGGAAATGATTAGCCACTCCTAGCAGTAGGGGTGTTAACGGGCCGAGCCGAGCCGAGCCGAGCTTTGGTCTTAAAAGGCTAAGCCTGCGTTTAAATGTGTCAGCTTGACCTAGCCTGTTACCTGTTACGAATATAATTATCGGCCTTGGCCTGTCTTATTTACAAAAAATAAAAGCCTGATTTGACCTGTTAGCCTGTTTAAAAAAAAAATAAGACAACAAAAATTTATCCAACAGAATATACAATCATCACCACTAGTAATTCCATAAATATTCATAAATTCAATGTATATCTAAACAGCATAATATAGAACAAAATTATTCAAAAAATCTGTTTAACCAAAAAAAGGGGTGAAATGGATTGAGAAGAGAGAGGGGACGATTACAAGTAGTATAAAAAATATAAAATAAAAATAAAAATTAATATACTAGGTCGGCCTGAGAGGCTCCAAGGCCGAGCTTTTGAATTGGAGCCTCAAGCCTTTTTATTAAACGAGCTTTTATACAAGTCCAAGCCCGGTTCCAATAACCAATTTCAAACATGTAGGTTCAGGCCTTCACGAGTCGAGTCAAAGGCCCCTGGTTTGTTTACCACCCCTACCTAGCAGTATGCTACTCAGCTACCTAGTGATCTGGATGGTAAACTAAAAGAAGGGTGAATCGCACATACTCAATGATGGCATAATAATCACATTGAACAGGAAGGGTAAACAAAGTTATAAGAGCAATTGAGAAATAAAAGTAAATGATATAAGTATAATCAATAAAATGTGTTTGAACAAGATATCAAGAGATTTATAAAGTAATGTAATCAATTACAAAAACATAATAAAATCATAAATTTAATGCAATATTGATCACACATGAGAGAATCAATTCTAAGGCGGCTCCACATAGTTGATAGTTGATAGTTGATAAACCTTAAATTCATAATGTTTTGATTGCAAAATGGAGTCTTAAAACTCCAAAATTAAGGACTAAATTATGAATTTAATGTCTTAAATTGTTAATATTGAAATAATAAGATGAATGATTATTATTTTATTTTTTATGATTAATTATGTTAATTTTTATCCAGGTGTTTTAGATATTTGGGAAGATATGGAGACACAAATATCACGATTGCTACAAAAATTAGATAAAATTTAAAAGATTCAGCACCTGAGCACCCAAGAAAGAAAAGCTCAATCCTAATTCCTAGGTATTGGAGTCTTTATAAATATTACCTTTATGACTTTCTAAAGAAGCTTTTTGGACTAAGAGGGAGCTGGGGACCAAACACGGGGAGATGTATTTTTATAGTTTTCGTTCATATTTTGTTTTTATTTCCTTTGCCATGTCTAACTAGTTTCTTTTATAGTTAGGGCTAAATGGAACCCTTTTTAATCTTGAATTAATTTACTTTTTCCTCTCAATATAATGTTCTTGTTTTCATGTTGCGCAATTATTCTGCTTATCATTCTTAATTCTTTTGTGAACTGGCCAATTATAAAGGGATATACTTGAGTTATGCATGACAATAAAGTTGTTGGTGTATGATTCTAATATGAATAAACTGTCAGGTCTTGTTTGATCTAGGAATAAATTGATAGAATCTGAGAGGTTGCTAATCATTGCTCTTAATGCTTGATCTAAGCGGGATTACTAAGGAATTAGGATTCTTAATAGGTCAAAGAATTAAAATACCAAGGGATTGAATTTTGATTAATTTAGGGATGAATTGTTTGGCAACATAAGTTTGAATGTTATTTGAGAGGGGAAATAGATTAGTTAAGAGGAAATTAGGGGAAATAGAAACCAATGTTGTTAAACTCGACTCGGTTATTGAACCGATCGAGGTATTAGGTTAGTGGGTCACTGGTTCAACCAGTGTGTCACTGGTTAAATTGCATGACCCGGTAAATATTTATAAATTTATAATTATATTAAAAAATTGTAGATATATTTAAATACTTGTAAAAATAATTTCAATTTCAAATATTCTCTTCTTTTTGGTAAATAAATATCCTAACTTTATTAATAAAGAATATTATATTTTGTATTCCAAAAGAAAAAATATCACATTTCAAATACAATTTAATATAATAAACTTTTAAAAAAGTTGTAACTTTGCAAAAGTGTTGTTCCATTTGACAATCAACTACTCCTTTCACTTTAACAATGTAATAAATGCAATTCAGTAAATTTC